AGATGATTTTATACCCCAGGGGACATTTGGCAATATCTGGAGACGTTTTCAGCTGTCACAACTGGGGAGGTGGAGCGGTGTACTACTGACATTCTAGTGGGTAGAAACCAGGGATACTGCCAAACACCCGACCGTGCTCAGGACAGCCCTCCAACAAAGAAGCATCCAGCCCCAAATGTCAATAGTGCTGAGCCTGAGAAGGCCTGCTCCAATTGTGAGGACTTAGACATTGTGAAATAAGACCACTTGTGTAGAAGACCCAGGCTGAAAACAAAGAAAATAGTCTTTCTGTTGAGAAAGATAATGATATTCAAGAATTGGGCCTCCCCTGGTGGCGCAGCGGTTGAGCGCTGGGCAGCTGCCCGCAGCTTCTGCAGCGCCGGTTCGATCCCCGGCCGCTGGTGAAGGTCCCACATGGCGCGCAGACCTCTCCTGCCGCGCCTGCTGCTCCCCTCAGCAGTGTACTTCGTTCCTTCTGCCTGTTCTGCTCCCCACTATGGCTCTGGTGGATTCTCTCACCCTCCCGTGCTTCTGACTGTACCCAGTGCATGTATAAATAAATAAATAAATAAATCTTTAAAAAAAAAGAAAGAAAATTTTAAGACAAAGTTATCCATAAGGCGAGTTTCTGTTTATCATGTTATCTTCAACTTTGACCCAAATGAAGATAGAAGCTTGTAAGATTCAATTATCTATATGTTATATATAGTATATTTTGTATGTATTACATAAATATATTAGTCTGTGTTCTTGCTTCCACTTAAAAATATCCCTTTTATCATCCCTATCATTTTAATAGAGTAGAGGATATTCCATCATTTCCATGTATTGAAATTAAAACATTCCCCCTTTGTTTCCCTTGTTTTTTTTTTTAAAGCAACTTGGACAGAAGCACAGGCATCAGATTGAAATCTAGCTTTGGAGATGTGGCCATGCGGCCCTTCCTTTGTTTTGCAATGAAATGCTTTTCCAAGAAATAGATGCTTTTGAAACATTGTAAGAAATTGCTATGATGTAAATATTTTCAAACCAGAAACATACATTTACTGTTTGGGGAGAAACATTCACAACTTATATATTTCTTAAAATGAAAACTGCAGCAAGCTGTGTTTCTCTCTAGACTGTATTGGCGCAACACCATAGCCTTGCTAAATAGAAGAGGTGAAACTGTGGGGACCCCTTAGCCCTAAGTCTTGAGAACACATCCTGTCCAACTGTTGAAGCCCACACGGCATTGAGAAAAGGACAGAACAGAATCTTGCTAAAGCCATCAGGATATAAGAGACAAATGTGCATGCTCAATAATTATAACCACTTAGATGAAGAGTCAGAAAGTGTTGGGATTTTAATAGTTAAGACCTTTGGAACTCACCTGAATGGACTGAATCTGGTCCTTCCTGAAATTCTCAATATATCTCAGTACCAGTCTGGGTGTTCCTGCACTTCAGAGTTTGGATAGCCTGGAATCCCCATGCCATACCCTGTGGCATTTTAAAGCGTTTCCCAAGAGTTTTGCAAATTTCTGGAAGGCTTACAGCTCTAAGTCCTTATCCCTCTGAATTAATCAGTGAATGCATCCTCTTACCACCCCCTTTCACTTGCTCCCTGCTTTGCCCATTCAGACTGAATTCACCTCCTAACTTAATCTTCAGCCCCCAACTCAGCACAGATGCCCCCAAGAGCTCCCTCTTAAAGATCATGTGCCTGTTGCACCCCTTGGCGAAGATATGAGCAAGGTTCTAACAAGCAATACAACAGCTTCGAAGCACACAGTGAACATAGCAATTAATTAAAGGACTTTTGATCTCTGCACCACTGGGAGCTTTATCATGGGTCTCTTCTTCTTGCACCGCCTCTGAGCCTACCCCTTTTTAGTAGCCACTTCTTCCTGCACCTTCTTATCTTGCTTGCCACTGCCTCCTGCCCAGATGGCCCTGAATCGCTCATACTGAGTTATACAGAGCAGCTTAGCTCTTCTGGGTTTTTACTCCCAAAATCAGGTCTTCATTTCCTTTTTGCATCTCAAAAATAGCAAACAAATAGGCCTTTAATTTAATGGAGTCTGCACTTCTAGAAAGCAGTCGCTGTAGTTAATAGTAATTTATTTTCCTCTCATACATCTAGATAAGTTTTGTCAACTCCTTTGAGAGCTAGTTCTGAATGTAAGCCTGTCTATATGTCTATACCTGTAGCCACATGTCTGCTTGAGGGGCAGCTTCTTAGCTGGATTGAAGGGTTCGGGTTTCAACTCTAAGACCAGTTAGACCGAGACCTGTCCAGTGTTCTGCCTTGGTTTCCAGTTTCCTGCTCTTTATCTCTGAATTCTTCAGCCGGACACTCCCTCCATTGCTCTACCTCTGCAACCTCATTTTTCAGAGTTCATCTCTTACAAGAGATGTAGTCATACTTGGTCTGTGCTTATAAGATGCTGTTGATGGAGACGAGGCTCGGCCACTGCTTTGGGGTCTCTGATGGTTCCTAGATGCCTTTTCCAATATGTATTGTTTCTTTGGCTACTTTTTAGACTCCATATAAACGATGATGATAAAGTCTTTCTTTAATCCCTCAAGACCTCTTGGGAGCTAGTAGATATTTCATGATGTTGTCAACAGTTTCCCCAGATTCGTTTATGCCACAAATTCACTCACTTAGCAAACCCTCATTGCCTGCTATGAGCACCGAGGCCAGGACACAGCAGCAAACAAGAGAAAGTGCTTGCCCTCCTAGAGTTTATGTGTGTGTGTGTGGGGGGGGTGTGTGCGTGTGAACTGTTTCAATCCTGAATATAGGCTGAGGACAGCAGAGCCACATGCTGTGGTTTCAGAACTAGAATGGATCCTTATTAGGGTTAAATGCTATAACGTAAATAATGAAACTACGTGATGAGGTTTTCTTCATCTCCAAGCTCACCTCTAATTCTACCCACCAGCCATTGCTGCTCCTTCTTCAATGATTTGGGGAGCTGCCAGAATGTCCTTCTGAGGAGTCATTCCGTCTGCAGTGAAAAACAGGGTATTTTAGCATTTCCAATTAGACCTCTAAAATGTAGATTTCCTTGAGACAACTAGATCACATATTTGTGTGTGGGTGTGTGTGGGGGGAGGGGCATGATGAGATGATATTGGAAGACAAAGTATTTTGCAATGTCTCATTCTAAATAAAAGCTTGATATTCCTCCATTCATTATGTGAATAAAACGTCACTCCAAACCTTATGGATCAACTTTTCCATTTTAACACTTCTTGGATATACTGTGCCCATTCTATGATGGGAAACTTTGGCAAAGGGAGCAAGAACAATAAGAAGTAAATGCAATACAATAAAGGTTATTTTATGAGAAAACCAGGCGAAGAGCTTCTCATTTCTCCAAGAATTCAACATCACAATAAGCGAATAAACACACACCAATAAAAAACAAACAAAAAAAACACTACTGAAAGCAGTTTATTCTAAACATTACTTTTCTAGGTTATCCACTTAACTCAACCTCTGAGATTTATAGTTCAGCCATACCAGCTCAGAGAGGAAAGAAAAAAGGCCATTTATCTAATTCAATTCCTTAGGAAAAAGTACTTAGGCAATATTAAGAATCTTCAATTATCTAATTTAATAAAAGGGATGATTTATATGCTGTAGTCAGTAACATGTGATACTGATTATTTCTAATCCCTTAGAAGAGATCTGACATTCTGTTTTTGGTTCCGTATAGCATGAAATCATCATCATATATATTTTACCAAAAGAAATAACAAGAATAATAGCTTCCGAAGTCTGCAATCACTTTATACTAACACTGCAACATGGTTTTGCCCTGGGGCAAAGAAGTAGGGATTTTCTTCTACTTCAAAAGAATGAAAAATTATCATCACTCTATCCAGAGCTGTTATAGACTTCAGAGACATTGGCATGAAATATTCAGAAAGTTTATTTTAGAATTCAATATTTTAAAAGCCTGCTTTGAAACGATTACAGTGATTAGTGACTCTTACTTGGGCCAGTCCTCGCTTTAAAAAGCCCCGTGTCAGGTCTGGTACCATTTTTTGTTTCAACAAAATAGAGCTTGCGTCAACCACAGAAGCGCCACGCCACACAAAGGCTGTAAGGCATTGTTCTAGAATGCCCCCCACGAGGAGTGGCGACTGCTACTCATCTGTTATCCTTTCAAACACACGTTTAAAACAAACACTACTCATAAGTGTTGAATTTGGGGCTTAAGCCACATCTTTATCCTTCCCGCGTGCATTCTCCGTTTGGTGTGTGTGCCATTTTTCTGCTGGAGCAGCACTGCCCCTGTCTCCATGGTCCTGTGGACACACAGGGACAACCCACTCAGGCTAGCCACACCCTCAGCCGACCACCCAGAAGCTCATCACTCAGAAAAGCTTATCCCATGTTTGTGAGGATTTAGTACAACTTCAGATTCCATGAGCGAAGCCAGTGGCAACTTCTGGAGCTAAAGTTAGCCATGTGGAAATTGCAATGTAATCGCTTCTCTCTGGGATAGGCTATGGACTCAGGGAAGCTGTGGGGAGTGGGGTGTGGCGCCCTGGCTGGGGCGTGTGGCCCTCCTGATTCAAGGACCAAGTCTGCTACTTCTCAGCAGTGTGGTTTTAGGAAGCTGGTGGCCCTCTTGAATCTCATTCTCTCTACCTGTGAAATGGACCTGTTCCAGCGTCTGTGTGCAGACATGTGAGACAGGAGTGATGTGGGATGTCAGCTGTCATTCTCATCATATTATTTATTTCCAAAATGTTTTTCTTATTTTGTTTTGGTTTGTTCCACATTTCTTTGTGTCGAATGCATTGTTTCTGTAGGTTTTAGCAAATACCTTTTCCGTCCCTCCCTATGTTATGCAGTAGCAGGCATCATTCTTCACCTGCAAGGAGATAAAATAGATGCCACTTGGGTAGACATGCAAAAGCATAACGATCCTGATGTACTCTCGATGCCTACGTGCTGATGAAAATAACCTGTGAACAACCTTTTGTTTCCTTTTCCAGGGAAGTAGATCAAGACTCAGATGGTCTTGTTAGCTTCCGAGACTTCGAAATTGCCATCAACTATGGACAAAAGGAAATGGAACTACTGTGAACTCCTTGGCACCTTCTGGGGTGACCAGTAGATGGGGACGTACTTGCATGTTGATTAAACTCTGCTCATAGTGGGGGGCTACACACTTATGATTAAACTCTTCAGCTGGGCTTTTCTCATGCTGATAGTTCCTTGCAGTTCAGGATGCTAGAGGTGGTCTTTACCACTGGTCTTCCAGGGATGCTGGGGGCACGGGTCAGGCTGCTGCTGCTGCTGGCACTGCCAGGCGGGCAGCCCCCACTCTCCTCTACGCTCTCCCCACCCCTGGCACACTGCAGCTGGGTGCTCCACTCATTTGCCAGTTCTCCACCCGACCCTCAGGCTCCCTGTTTCTCATCAGTCTCTGACGTCTGGACAAGAGTAACTTTTTCCTGCCACTGGTACCGGTTTCCTTCATCAATTCAACTTCTGAACAAATCAGAGCACCTAGGTTACTACGTGCATCCCGTATACCAGCGATGAGTCAGGCAGTGGGATAGCCAAGACTGCAGACTTCTAAAATCATGCAGGGCCTGCCCTGGTGGCGCAGGCGGTTGAGCACTGCACTGTGAGGCTGTCCACAGCCTCTGCAGCGCTGGTTCGATCCTGGCCGGCGAGGGTCCCACATGGTGCGGCAGACCTCTCCTGTCGCGTCTGCTGCTCCCCTTAGCAGTGTGTTTCATCAGTCTGCCTGTTCTGTTCCCTGCTCTGTCTCTGGTGAATCCTCTCACCCTCCCGCGCATCTGGCCTGTACCCTGGTTCTTGTATGCATAAATAAATAAATCTTTAAAAATAAATTTAAAAATAAATAAATACATTAAAATCATGTATCCAGAATTGAAATCATCCTTGCAAAGTCATCCCAGTACCCTGGTTGTGCAAGACAAAGAAAGCCGATTGGGCCAATCTTCACCATGGAGCACAGTAACAGTATCAGGGACAAAGACTTACTTCTGCAACCCTCTCGGATGGCCTGGGCTGACATTCCTGTGGCTGAGCTGCCAGCCCTGGGTTGCCCAGCTGCCTCTGCTCACCCTCCCTGCATCTGGGTAGTTCCTCTCTACACCAAGAGCCTTAGACACCTTGTCTTCACATTCTCCATGTTCTGCCCATCCACCATGGGGTCAGGGGACTGCTGTCCTAGATGGAAGAAAAACTGTGACACAGGACATTTGGCATTTATTTTAAAGCAATAGTCATATTTTATGTAGAAGTGTTCAGAATTCATAACATTAACATTAGGAAAACATTTAATATAATACCATTTTTTAAAAAGTAGTAAGCATTTAGGGCCTCCCTGTTGGTGCAAGGGTTTGAGACGCAACCTATGAAGCTCTGCAGCCACTGCAGCATGAGTTCTATCCCCAGCCAGCAAGGGAACTACCCACATGGTGCAGTGGACCTCTCCTGACTCGCCTGCTGCTCCCCTCAGCAGTGTATTTCAGTCAGTCTGCCTGTTCTGCTCCCTACTCTGTCTCTGGTGGGTCCTCTCACCCTGCTATGCCTCTGGCCTGTACCCCAGTTCTTTTTTCTTTTTTTTTTTAAAGATTTATTTATGCATACAAGAACTAGGGTACAGGCCAGAGCTGTGGGGGAGGGGGTGAGAGGATTCACCAGAGACAGTGTGGGGAACAGAACAGGCAGATTGAAGTACACTGCAGAGGGGAGCAGCAGGCGAGTCAGGAGAGGTCTGCTGCACCATGTGGGTAGCTCCCTGGCCAGCCGAGGATCAGACTGGTGCTGCAGAGGCTGCAGACAGCTTCATAGGCTGTGTCTTAACCCCTTGTGCCACCAGGGAAGCCCTGTACCCCAGTTTTTATATGCATAAATAAATCCTTTTTAAAAAGTAAGCATTTATAGGTCAAGTAAAAATGTAAATTTGTAAAATAGAAACATTATACATCCTTGCAACATAAATTATTAGCAGATAAACAATAAAATATCTTAAATTGTAAGAGTTGCCTAAATAGACATAACGAGTGAATGAGATTTGGAATTCTGGCTGAGATCCTGGGACAGAAAAGGAACATTAGGTAAATACCAATAAAAAGTGTGGACTTCTGTTAATAATGCTGAATCATTATTGGTTCATTACTGGTGATGAGTGTACCATGCTTACATAAAATGTTAACAATAGGGGAAACTGGATGAGGTGTGTTTGGGAACTCTCTATGCTATCTTCACAATTTTCCTATAAATAAAAAGTTTTCAAAATTAAGTTTGTTAAAAAATAAAGTCTTACTCCAGAATTGTGTTATCTAAAGTGAAGAAAATTTTGATGATCATTAAGAAGTACGAATGAAATATTACATATCAAAGTGGATCAATGCCATCATCAAGTATCATATATATTTTAGTTACAAACAGTTCCAAATAATGAAAAACGCTTTCTGACTCTCAGTGGAGTTTTGTCCAGCAAGTATTGTCATCCATAAATTGAATAGTTGAGTCACTGATCCTCTTCTCAATACATATACATAAGTGCTATTGATTTTCCATTTTCTAAATATCACAAGTAGAGTCATCCACCAACAAAGTGTCAGTATTTCAGTAACTACTAAAATACCAAACCCTCGTCCAAATCACTATTTGGACCTCATTTCTCCTGGGAAACAGGGCAAAAGAAAGAAAAGGGTCAGTTCCTCCAGCTGATATGGGAGACAAGAGGCATGGAGGCTGGGAACAGCTACTAGGTTACTCCCTTGGCCCTAAATAATCCAGGCTCCTTTGGGCCCCAAGCACATCCATCTACCCAAACTAGCCTACACTAGAGAATTGTGAGGTAGCGGGAAGACCAGGGGTCATCTGGCTTTCCAGGATAACTATTATAGAGTCAACAACACAAGTACCTCCAAACTCTGCCTCTGTCCCATGTCTCCATCAGCTTTAACCCATTCTAAAAAGGAAATAGCCTGTAACTCATCCCATTTCCAAGTCCAAAAACCATAGAAGAGACTCTGGTTGGTTGGTTGGTCCTTGGATCCATCAACTCTTGGCACATGGCCACAGGGCATTCACCCAGGTGTGCTTGGGTGAGCCACAGAGAGGGAATGTTGGTAAGGGCCAGGCAGCCATTTCCTTTTCTTAGAAGAAAGCAGTATGGTTGGAACCTCGTCTTGAAGGGAGACTATCCCTAGGATTTGCTGCTTCATAGGAGTTCAAAGAAGCCCCAAAAGGTGAGTAGCTGCTCGTGTCCTTCTCCCCTCCTGGTCATGCCCAAATCCTCATCCTTTAAGTTTCCCCCCAGCTTCCCACTTGCAGCTTCCCACTTCCCTACCTTGTCCCCAGGCCACAAGATGCCACCTTGTTGGCCTGCCCTCCTTTGGTTGAATAACTCAAGGCAAGTGCAATTGATCAGCGGGTGTGTCTTTTTGGGAGGCTTCCAGAGTAAGCGTGAGCGAGACACAGCAGTGCTCCCCTGAATGGCTGAGTGTGTGGATCTGACTCAAGGGCCAGTGGCAGGCATGGTTTCTACCATATGGCCTGGAAAACCCAGGCAGCCGGTTTGCAGTAAGAGCAGAAAATGAAATCAACACCAAGAGGGGAAGAAGCAAGAAGCCAGAGAAACTCTATGGTGCTTGTTTTCTGACTAGAGCTAGCGCATAGGCCCAGTCTGATCCTTGGGTCCTGTGAGGTAACTTGTATCCTTCCAATAAGTCTTCCTACTTAAGCCAGCTCGAGTTGCTTTCTGTTATTTGAAACCAAAAGAACCCTCACTGTTAGGAGCACAGAGCCAAAGATAGTGTCTAGGTAACATCAACATTTACTGGGACAGCAGAAAAGAGTCTTCTAAAGAGACTAAGAAGTTGCCATTGAAAATGGAAGAGGAAGCTGTTACCACCTCTCTCTCTGATTTCTTGCCTCTATTTAACCTTTCACTATAGTCAGCTCTTGTCTTCCTCTGTGGCAAGGCATCACCAGCAATCTATTCTTGGCCAAACCCATCCAGCCCACCTCAGACCAAATTTGTCCCCTCTCCTGGGGTGGTGTGACAACCAGACCTGTGAAATCCTTGCCTCTTCAGCCTCCAGGACACTGCTCTCTTGTGAGTTTTTTTTTTTAAAGTTACATGACTTGGCAGTCTTTCTTTTTTTTCTTTCTTTTTTTTTTTTTTTTAAGATTTATTTATTTATTTATTTATACAAGCACTGGGTACAGTCAGAAGCACAGGAGGGTGAGAGAATTCACCAGAGCCAGAGCGGGGAGCAGAGCAGGCAGACTGAAGTACACTGCTGAGGGGAGCAGCGGGCGGCAGGAGAGGTCTGAGCGCCATGAAGGACCCTCGCTCGGCGGCTGGGGATCGAACTGGCGCTGCAGAGGCTGCGGGCAGCTTCGCAATGCAGCGCTCAACCTCTGTGCCACTGGGGAGGCCCATTTTTTTAAAAAGATTTATTTATGCATGCAAGAGCTGGGGTATAGGCAGAGATGCGGGGGGTGAGAGGATTCACCAGAGACAGAGTGGGGAACAGAACAGGCAGATTGACTGAAGTACACTGCTGAGGGGAGCAGCAGGCGAGACAAGAGAGGTCTGCTGTGCCATGTGTGTTGCTCTCTGGCCGGCCAGGGATCGAACCCGTGCTGCAGAGGCTGTGGATTGCTTCACAGTGTTGTGCTTAACCCCTTGCGCCACCAGGAAGGCCCTTTCTTGTGGTTTTTCTGTGCTCATTTTTCCTTGCTGTCTTTCCTATTTCCTCTCCTACAACCATGGCGCCAGTGTTAGTATTCTCCAAGGTCCTGTAATTGGCCAATCTCCTTGATCAATACTTTCTCAAAGATGATTTCATCCACTCTCAAGATTACAGTGGGCCCCATTACGGGTGTGACTCCACAAAAACATCTTTATCTTTAGTCTTGACCTCTGCTCAACCCCAGACCTGTGTTTTCACTGTTTTTTTGGACATTTCTACCTCAAGACAGACTCACTGAACTAAAGTCAGACTCATTGATATCTCAAATTTTCAAAATTGGTTTCTCATTCTGTTTTCTTTTCCTCCTCATGGCAACCACCCCTTCCTCCCGCCCAAGCTGTCATCCCAGGCAGCTGTCTCAGAATTCTCAATTCTTCCCAATCTTTCTTCATTTGTCATTTCTTCTTTCTGTCACTGAATTCTTTTGAAACTGTGTCTGCAAAAACTTTCCTGATATTTCCTTCCCATCCACCATGATCTCCCCACCCATGCTTTTGTTCCTGTTCCAATCCTTTCAACCAGTCATGTGTTCTATTTCTTCATAGGAAGATGAGTAAAGGATGTGTCGATCAGTAAGAAACAGACCGTGCAGTTGAGAAATTTTGTCTAGCATGCCAATTCTCTTCCCAAAGTGCAGACTAAATTATTTTTTCTCAGTTCAAAATATCATGGTAGCCACCTTTTCTATAGGGTGATGTCTAAACCCTGAATATGCCATTCAAATCCTTCTACAATCTGGTCTCATATTTTCAGCTTCATCTTTCACAACTACCTCTGTCTTACCACCCCACAATCATATAACTCTCTCTCTCTCCCTCTCTCTCACACACACACATTCTGCCATGCGCGCGCGTGCGTGCACACACACACACACGCACAAACACAGAATCCCTTAGCCTAAAAACACCAAAATGGCAACTATTTTCTATTTTACCTAAGTAGAAAAGTAACAATCTTGAAACTAATATCTGATGAGACAACAGGAAATGCAAACATGAACTAATACAATTCAATCTGAAAAAGAGATTTGAGCCCCTTCATACTAATGAATGTTTTCCTTCTCAAAGTTGTCACCTTCGGAAGGGGTCAGGGAGACACAATCATGCGAGGTAGTTTCTATTTATTTTTTTCTTGAAAAGTTGTTAAGATAGGTGTTAGTCACCCTCTTGTATAAATGAGAAGACAGGTCTCAGCCTAAAGTAACTTGGCTCAGGCCAAGTGGTGGGGGTGGGTAGAGAGTGTCAGGGTGGTGATTCAAATCTGTCAGCTGGTCTAAGCACAGGTACCTTCTGTTATGAAGGTACCTCACATTGCCTCTTGTGGGGAAAGCAACTTAGTAGTCAAGGATGTTGTTCCTTGACCCAGTTTATCCAGTTCTACTGGCCACCCCAAGTCAAGCATCTAGCACAAAGTAGGTATTAAATATTCATTCCCATCTAATGCACCACCCAGGTTAACCCAAATTAGATTGGGTTATTTAATCAAACCCATTTTCA